TATCTATCTATCTATCTATCTATCTATCTATCTATCTATCTATCCACCTATCTACCTCTCTCATCTAATTATTTACCTATCTATCATCTGTCATCTCTCCCTCTATGCGTGTGTGTGTATCTGTCCTTCTGCCTGCCTGCCTGCCTATCTGTCTCTCTATTTCTGTCATCCGTTTGTCATCTATCTATCACATCCTCAAAATAATAGAGAGGGAAGGGACCTTGGAGGTCTTCTAGTCCAACCCCCTGCTCAGACAGGAAACCATTTCAGACAAATGGTTATCCAATCTCTTCTTAAAAAATTGCAGTGTTGGAGCATTCGCAATTTCTGGAGGCAAGTTGTCCCACTGGTTAATTGTTCTCAGTCTCAGAAAATTCCTCCTTAATTCCAGGTTGCTTCTCTCCTTGATGAGTTTCCACCCGTTGCTTCTTGTCCTGCCCTCAGGTGTTTTGGAGAATAGCTTGACTGCCTCTTCTTTGGGGCAGCCCCTGAGATATTGAAATTCTGCTATCATGCCCCGCCAGTCCTCCTCTTCGATAGGGTAGACAAGGCAGAACTAGAAATCTCCATCTCCAGGTGATTGGGTGAAAGTTACCCAGCTGGATTTCCTTCTTAAGGTAGGCTAGAATGCACCGTCTCTTGGTTTCTAAGCCAGCACCATAACCACTGCACCAAATTAGCTCTCAGGATTGGGGTAATGTTGGTTGCCAGTAAAACCTGGGGAGAAGACGATTCTGAATCCCTTCCTTCTTATGTTGATGTGGCTGTTTTCTCTTTAGCTGGAGAACTTCATCCAGAGGAACATCAAGACGGAGATGGCCCACATCCAGCAGAATGTGGTACAGAACCAGACGGCGGCCATATTGGAGATTGGCACCAATCTTTTGAGCCAAACAGCTGAGCAGACACGAAAACTGACCAATGTGGAAACCCAGGTGATTGATGACATGGATTCGAGGTGGGAAAAATTAAACATATTTAGAAGGTACAGCGGGGGGTTAACTTTCAGCCGACTCTGCCTCGGAAGAAAAACTTGCCAAATACTCTGTTTGGATTTCTGGACTTTTGTTCTTGGAACGGGCTTTAAGAAAACAGAGTTCCTCTTGTACCAAAACAAAACCACTTACCAGTTCTTCGCAGATATTGTATTTAAAATTTCACAGGAATAGAATCCGTCAAAAATTTGTTAAGTTAGGAGGAGGAGGAGGAAGATTGTGGGGTCCGTGGTGATCTCTGAACTTGCTTGTTTTCTGAGACATTTCATTACTGAGCTGGGTAACTTCATCAGTGTTTGAAAGGAGTGGTGTTTGCAGAAAGGAGGAAGAGGAGGAGGAGGAGGAGGAGGAAAATGAGAACTGTGTGGTCCTTGGTGCTTTTTGGACTTGGTTGTTTTCTTGCAAATGTTTCACTACCAAACTAGACAACATGATCAGTACTAGAAGGAAGTGGGGTTTGCAGAGAGGAAGAGGAGGAGGAGGAGGAGGACGAGGACGAGGACGAGGACGAGGACGAGGAGGAGAACGACGACTGTGGAGCTTCCAGGAATTATCTAGCAATTTTGCCCTGGGCATGGTCTAAAATTCTATAATTGCGGGAGTTCATCACATCATCTGACTGACAGTTGGTATTCATGTACATGTTTTGCCAGTCTTCTGCCTGTTTATCCTATCTAGGGAGTAAAAGTCTAAGGTGGTTCTCAGTCCTTCCACTCACGGTTGTCATCCCGAAGGAGGTAACTGGACTTTTCTTGGTTTTTTGTTTTTTGTTTTTGAAGACGTTTTGCTTTTCATCAAATGATGTGGGAGCATGAACAGATTTCCAATAAACAAATAAATCAATAAAAATGGCAGACTACAGAAACCCTTTGCACCACTCAGGTGACCCTGAGGACACGGACAAACCTCCAAGTGGCCTCAACGTCCCTCTAAAAAGATGCCAATGACCAGCTGTCTGCAAGGAGGATAAATCCTTCCTTTCCCCACCATCCACTCAGAGTTGAAAAAAACTTCTCAGATGAGAAGCAAAACGTCTTCAAAGGAAAAAGTGGAAAAACCCTTTGGGGCTACATAGGGACTGTTACAGTCCTTATACTGTCTATTTTCAGTGTTCCAGAAAACCTCCACTCCAACAAATAACTCCGATCCAGACACCGTCCTCTCCAAGGTTCTTTTTATTTGAGTAGTAAACTGGCACATCTGGAAAATCCCAGATCTGAAAGTTGCGGGTTTCCTTGCAATAAGTAAAAAAAAAAAAAAATTACGACAGGGAGCCGCAGCAGAGGGATGAAAGAGCCACATGCGGCTCTAGAGCCACGAGTTGCTGACCCCTGGTCCAGTCTTACGAAAAGAAGGACTAGGGTGACATGATAGCAGTCTTCCAATATCTGAGGGGCTGCCCCAAAGAAGAGAGGAGTCGAGCTGTTTTCCAAAGCACCTGAGAAGGCAGGACAAGAAGCAACGGGTGAAAACTAATCGGGGAGAGAAGCAACTTAGAACTAAGGAAAGATTTCCTGACAATGAGAACAATTAATCAGCGGAACTGCTTGCCTCCAGAAGTTGTGAATGCTCCAACACTGGCAGTTTTAAAGAAGAGATTGGATACACATTTGTCTGACGTGGTGTAGGGTTTCCTGCTAAGCAGGGAGTTGGACTAGAAGACCTCTTATGTCCCTTCCAACTCTGCTATTCTATTCTACTCCTGGTTTTTTTGCTGCTGGGGTTTTGCTACTCTCTATGGTTGAGTTCATTCTGAGGCTGAGCCCCATAAAGATAGTTTTCCTTCTCTCTGACTTTGCTCTGGCGCTGAAGAAGGACCGCAATTCCCTAGCTAAGTTTCCAATCCTGATTTGACTTTCTTTTGTGTGTGTGTGTGTGTGTGTGTGTGTGCTCCACTGCTTAGGTGCTGAACCAAACCTCGCGCATTGAAATACAACTTCTGGAGAATTCCCTGTCCACCAACAAGCTGGAACGGCAGCTCCTGGTGCAAACCAGCGAGATTCACAAGCTCCAGGATCAGAACAGGTGAGCGGCTGGTTGAAGAAAGATAGGCGGTCCGTTCATTGAGAGACAACGGCACTGAGAAAAATGTGATTGATTGATGGCTGTCAGTCTTGCGACCCTCGCGGCATCCCCAGGGTCATGGAATCCCAGTTGGGGCACTTGGCAACTGACTCGTGTTTATGACGGTTGCAGTGTCCCAAGGACACATGATTGCGAAACCTGTTGTCATGCCCCCCCCGTCAGAGTCTGAATCCGAGGAGGAAGATGAACAGCCGACAGAGAGTGGGAGTGTGGCTCCCGTTGGCTGTGGAGGAAACTGGAGAAGAGCACAGGCTGGCTGAGCAGAGCAGGAGGGAGGAAAAACAAGGGAGAGGAAGTTCAGAGGAAGACCCAGGCCCGCCTCTTCTTCATCTTAGGGCACGCAAGGAGGAACGGAGAAGGGAGCAATGTGGCTTACGGGGGAGGAAAGGGCCTTGATTCCCTTCATTAGGCACACCTGGGAAGAGAGTTTAAAAGAGATGCATGCGGAGTGCAGCAGTTTCTGGGAACAAACGTGAATTTATCTCATGTTATGTGAGTTCCTGGCATCCTCCCAACTGGTTTGACTTACCACCGTGTTACTTCACTTCTGGAACTCCTAATCTTGTCCCTGCTGAATTTATTACCTTATTTTGCCTTGTTGGATTTATAATTTAAAGTTTTCTGTTTACAACATTGGGATTGGAATATCGGCAGCCAAAGGCTGTTGCAGGTTCGTGGGAGAGTTTTTTTTTTCTCCAGACCGTAAGATAACCGGGACATTAAGGGTGAAGTTGGAGCTAATAAAGGGACCCAGACATTCTCTGGCTTAGTTGCCCTTGTGCCACATCCCGGATCATCACACCTGCGCATATGCAAAGTCAGTGGGGAAGCCGGATTCAATTAACAACGGGTGTTCCTAATTTAAAAGGTGCAGTGATTCACTTAACGGCTGTGGCACGAAAAGTCATAAAACAGAGTATAATTCACTGAACAGCTCTGTGACTTAGTAACTAAAACTTTGGACTCGAGGACTATCTTGTAAGCTGCCAAAAGGTGAGAGATGTGGGAGGCAGGATAGCAGCCTTCCAATATTTGAGGGGCCGCCCCAAAGAAGAGGGGGTCAAGCTAACCTCCAAAGCCCCTGAAGGCAGGACAAGAAACAACGGATGGAAACGAATCAAGGAGAGAAGCAACCTGGAACTAAGGAGAAACTTCCTAACAGTGAGCACAATTAACCAGTGGAACTGCTTGCTACCAGAAATGTGTATGGAGATTCTCAGTCATCCAGGTGGTGGTTCTCCCAAAAGTGCTTTTCTTAAAGAGACAACTGACTTCCTGGTTTTTTTTCTTTGAAGATGTTTTGTTTCTCATCCAAGAGCCAAACAACAACAACAACAACAACAAAAGCATCTTGGATGACAAGCGAAACGTCTTCAAAGAAAAAAACCAGGAAGTCAGTTGTCTCTTGAAAAAAAAAAGGCAGCAGCTTTGGGACTTGTCTCCAGAAGTTGTTGGGGTTTCCATCACTGGAGGTTTTTAAGAAGAGACTGGACGGTCATTTGTCTGGAATAGTATAGGGTCTCCTGCTGGAGCAGGGGGTTGGACTAGATGACCTCCAAGGTCCCTTCCGTTATTCTGTATGAGAGACAGAGAGGGGAGGGAGAGAGAGAGAGAGAGAGATGGATGGAGATAGATAGATAGATGACAGACATATATGGAAAAATGGAAATATGTCCGTAGAATACGGAATACCAAAGTCGGAAGGGACTTTGGAGGTCTTCTAGTCCAACCCCCTGCTCAGTCAGGAAACCCTGTCCCCTTTCAGACAAAAGCTTGTCCAGTCTCTTCAATTGAGCCCTTGTGCTGCCTAAGAGCCCTGAAGGCAAGATGGGGGTACAGAGGAAGAAAGGTCAAAGCATGAGAACATGTTTGCGCTGTGGTCAGTCACAAGCAGGACACTACATCTGTTTCTCTACAGGAGTGCGAAGCTGCTGGGTTTGGCTTTGTTTTTGCAGCCATGGCACGTTTATGGCTAGTGACGCCTCCTTGTACTAATGGATCCCTTGGGGAAGATTCAACCGTCTGGGAGAGATTCCCAGAACACTTAAAAGTTCAGAAAGTGTCCGTAGATTCAGTCTGATAGTAACTTCTTTGTTGTTATCATTTTTTAAAATAACAGGCCTCATTTCTAAAATCAGTGATAGATATAGATATAGATATAGACATAAACAGGTAGGTAAGTAGGTAGATAGATAGATAGATAGATAGATAGATAGATAGATAGATAGATAGATAGATAGATTAGATAAATAGATGATAGATTTGATAGGCAGATAAGATAGATTAGATAGGTAGATGATTGATTAGATGATAGATAGATAGATAGATAGATTAGATAAATAGATGATAAATAGATTTGATAGGCAGATAAGATAGATTAGATAGGTAGATGATTGATTAGATAGATGATAGATAGATAGATATAGATAGATTAGATAAATAGATGATAGATAGATTTGATAGGCAGATAATATAGGATAGATAGATAGATAGATAGATAGATAGATAGATAGATAGGCAGGCAGGCAGGCAGGCAGGCAGGCAGGCAGGCAGGTGATAGATATTAGAAGATAGATAGATGATAGATGGATAGAAAGATGATAGATGATAGAAAATAGATAGATAGATATGATAGACAGACAGTCTCACACACACACATACTCTCTCTCTCTCTCTCCTCTCTCTCTCTCTCCCTCCCTCTCTCCTTCTCTCCCTCTCTCTCTTCCGGATGGCTTCTATGGCAGCATTCCAAAGATTATCCATTCCAGCCAGTAACTCCATTTGGACTGTTATTGACTTATTCTCTAAGCAGGCCCACTTTACAGCCTCTAAAAGGACTTCCATCTGCAAAAAAAGCTTGCAAAACTGTTCGTCAAGCATATCGATAGGCTACACGGAGTACCTCGTAGAATAATATCCGTCAGAGGGGTACAATTTACCGCTAAGTTCTGGAGGGAGTTTTTAAAGTCTATCGGGTCGTCCCAAGAGTTATCCTCAGCATTCCATCCAACCTGCAACGGAGCAGCGGAAAGAACTAACGCCGTGGAATCGTTATTAAAAGCTGCCATTCTACAAAGTTCTCAACCTTCCTGTTTAATCTGGTCAAACTTCGCATATTGCCTGAACCCAGCTGGTGGTTTGTAACAAACCTGGTTAGCTGCATTGTGTGAACATCCTCTGTGATGCTTTGAAGCATGAAGTGAGCTCCAATTTCCACAAATTTGCTTCCATCTCTTGGAAACGAATGCTTTTGGGGCCCTTCAGCGGGAGAACCATTGAGTCATTCAAACCACCTGAAAAACAGAATTTTGATCCACACCCAGCAGTCGGTTATGGCTTCGTAATGAGCGGGAAAAGCTGCCTTTGCAATCCGAAGTGTGTTTGTTTAAGGAAATGAAAATAAGGCCACTAAAATCCTTGCGTGGGGGGGGGGGGGGTTTGAATTCTCGATCAAATGACATGACACTTGTGAGAGACCTTGGCGTCCAGGGCTGGCCTTCTGCTCTCTTGGCAAAAGAAGATCTCCATCAAGTGGCTTTTTAAAATATCTTTCCGGCCCAGGCTGGAGGAGGCCTTGTGAACAAGCCAAGATCATGCTCGCGCTTTAAGAACGGCGATCTTCTCCCGAGGATTCGGCGGGGGAGCCAGCTGGCCGGCATGAACTGCGATCTTAATGATGTTGGAAAGATTCGCAAAAACAGGAAGGATTGAACCGTGGAAAATTAAACTCAGTTCCAAGTGTCTTCACAAGAATACACACACACATATACAGAGAGGGCGGGGAGGGGAGAGGAAGAGAGAAATAGAGACACAGAGAGAGACACAGAAAGAGAGACAGAGACAGAGACAGAGACAGAGGCACACAGAGAGAGACAGAGAGAGACAGCCAGAGAGAGAGAGAGAGAGAGAGATGAGAGAGAGAGAGATGAGAGAGACAGAGACACAGAGAGAGACAGAGA